CCTCCTTCAGTGTTGCAGTTAAACAAGAAAGGTAACTCCGCTGCTCCCAAAGAGGTTGGGGAAGTTTATCTAGTTTTAGAACTTTTATAGAGAACAGATCATGTTTTAGGTCATATTAATGCAGATATATTGAAAATTCAAAAGTGTTCACAAAGCTTTAAGCACCACTGTATATAAGGCACAAGACCTAATCCAGGCTACTTTTGTCCACATAAAAACAAAACAAAAACAAAACATTCTTTATAGATATGTGTGTGTTTCCCTTCGAGTCAGTTTTTGACTCCTAGCGACTGCCCGGACAGTTTTCTTGGCAAAGTTTTTCAGAAGTGGTTTGCCATTGCCTTCTTCTCAGGGCTGAGAGAGAGTGACTGGCCCAAAGTCACCCAGCTGGCTTTGTGCCTAAGGCAGGACTAGAACTCTCAGTCTCCCAATTTCTAGCTTGATGCCATAATTGCTACACCAAAGTAGCTCTCTTTATAGATATGTGTTTGGCATTAAATAATGAACTAACCCAACAGAAACTAAAGTTGCTATTATGCAATATGGAGGCCAAAACAATTCAGTTAAAAATTATAACTAATAGGCAAAACTTCTTAGATAGTCATATTGTATGAAGATCAGTTTCTTATTTGAAAATCATTTATCTAAGTGTGGAAAAGCGCACACAGAAAGTGTACTTTTTTCCATTTGTGTAAATAAAGACCTCAGGGCACATAAAACCTGCAACCACCCCAAAACATACTATGTCTGGATCCAGTTACTGAGTTCATTAGATGAGATATCAGGAATAAAGCACTTCTAAAGAAAACAATAAGAATAAAAATAAGGATTGAAGATATGTGGCCATCAAACAGATCAAGGAAGGAAGCAAGGTTTCTGCCCCGGGAAATAAGGTTTGGTGCTAGAATAAAATAATCATGCTAAGCAGTGTTAAGCAGAGTCATGAGAAATGAAGAGAACTTGGGATAATTTGTATTTTGGAGTCAAATGTGTAGTGATTTCAAGGAAGGTAGGCAATATCTGATATTTGCTTTAACCAAAACTGGATATAGAATGCTTGGGCTTACAAATTTTCAAATAAATGCTTCAAATTTGTTATCAATGTAGGCTGATTACGGCATAGTCAAGAGAAGGAGGCATGGCCCAGTCAGTGTAAACAAGTTTAGAGATACTTGGTTGTTAATTAAATCTATTACACAAAGACAGCCTACTTAAGAAAAACGAAAAGTGTTGTTGTGGCCTTGTGAACATTGTTGGGAGCCTGGTAATACATCTCAGTTGGATTATTTTTCATATTGGAACTATGGATTGACCAGTTCAAAGTTTTCCCCTGCTTGTTTGTGTGGTAGAAAAGTGGTTCTTAACCAAACTGCATATTGCTTATCTAATTAATGTGATCAGCAGAATGTCTCCCTGTAATTGGTTATTTACAGAGGCATGTCAACAATGTTAATCATAACTTTCATTCCTAATGTTCCTATGTTTCCATTATCCCAAACAAAAGTACAAAAAAAAAAAAAGGAACCTCTGAGCCAAACTTCAGTAGATATTGTCAAACAACTTTCGGGCATCAAAATACAAGTAAACAGTCAATATTTCTAAGCTGCCCATTTTACTTTTACTAGGTCTACCATAGCTGAACTGCAAATATCTGAACAATCACTAGATGGCAGTAAAATAACATAAAAACTGTAACTCTTAGCTGCCATTTAGATTTTTTTACATACAGGCCTAACTTTAAAAATTCTGAATGTAGCCATTTTAAGCTACCATGAAGCCATTGTACAAATCCTTGGAAATTGTGGTTATAATGCATTTTATGAATGGGTGGGTCCAGGTGATGGTGAATTCATCCTTGAGAGAGGGAGTGTTTCCAGTGGTCTTTAAAGAGGCACTGGTACACCCCCTCCTCAAGAAACCATGACTGGATCCCACCATACTGGACAATTTTCATCCAGTCTCCCACCTTCCCTTTTTAGGACCATGGTATCCTTTTGGGTCGGCTTGGGGAGTTGTGGGTGGGTGGCATAGTTTTGTGCTGGTTCACCTCCCAATCAGTGTTGATAGGGAGTAAGAGGTCCAGCCTACGGCCCCTCCTTTGTGGGGTGCCACAAGGTTCGGTACTTTTCCCACTCCTTTTTAACATCTACATGAAACCACTGGGTGAGATCATCCGCCCCCATGGGATGAGGTATCATCGATATGCAGATGATACCCAGTTATACATCTCCATCTCAGGTGATCTGAGTGATGCTGTGACTACCCTTTCATGGTGCCTGGAGGCTGTGGGGGTCTGGATGGGGAACAACAGACTAAAGCTGAACCTTGGTAAGAAGGAGTGGCTGTGGGTTGGGGGCTCCTCTGTATCTGGAAGTTTACCATCTTTGGTGCTGGATGGGGTCGCACTACCCCAG